CATGCCCTTGACCGGAATCGAACCTGGGACCCTTGAGTCCGCAGGCCGACGCTCTATCCACTGAGCCAAACCAGCTAGGGCTAGATTCTAGTCTTACTTACACGCCCTCTCTCCCACATCCTGAGAGAGGGTGATACGTCCCTACTTATCGCAGGTGCCTCGCAATGACATCTGTGGCAGGAGTATCCTTCCCTACCCATTGATGCAGCTGCTGTGTGACTTGGATTGACCAGTGGCATGTGAGAGCAAATGTGTTAAGAGCCAATGCTGGCTGCTGCCAGCTCTCTCTCTCTCTCTCTCTCTCTCTCTCTCTCTCTCTGTGTGTGTGTGTGTGTGTTTTCTTTGCCCTGAGTAGGGCATGGCCTACATTTGGGCTTCACCTTCAGTCAGGGTCCAGAATGAGAAGACCTGTGGGGCAGAACTCAGCTGTCTGCGGCGACCAACATGGAACATAAATGAGAAATGATTGCTATATTTTCAGAGGTAGAGATGTGGGGGCCTTTTGTTACTGCGGCCTTACCTAGCAAAAGCTGACTGACACAGGGCCTTGTCTTCCTCCAGATCTGCCAAAGACTTGTCTCTTGTCCACTTGGCTGAAGTCCGTGGCCAGAGAGCTCTGCTCTGTTTTCTGTGTCTTGGGTGGAGTCCTCACCTTCCTGTGGTCCCCTCAGGTCCCATTGTGCCTCTCATCTGATGCCCAGCACAGGTGGCCTGCCCTGGGACCCTCAGCTACAGGGCACCTTAACCCTCTTTCCGCAGCCCTTCCGGTAAAACTTCCCAGTCACACCCTCAGCTAATTTCCAGGCTCCCTTGGGCTCTTGAGGACATTTCTAGAGCCCGTCCACAGGGCAGCTGGAGAAGGTGACCCCAGGTCCGCTCTGCCTACCCCTACTGTGCCTCTCATTGACTCTGATGTGGCCACCCAACGTTGGCGCAGAGGCAGACTTCCCGGTGACTTCCTCTAATCCCTCAGCATCCCCTCAGCCAGACCAGCACGGGGGTCTGGGTAGAGAAAATCAGAGCACACACCTCCCACCCAGGACTTGGAGGGAGTGACCCTCCCCTTCCTCGTCATTGTTACCAAACTCCCTGCACTAGGGAGTGGTAAACCGTTATCTAATCCACCAAGCCTGACCCTGGATGTGCTCAAGGAGGGTCTGTTAACAATCCCTCTATTTCCACAAAGCCTGGATTTCCATACTATCATCCCAATCAGGAGGTCAAGGAAGTGAGCCTAGAGCCCCAAGGATGACAGCCCTCCTGCCCCTTCCCTGTGGCAATGGCTGATGGCCCAGCCTCTAAGGTGGAAACTACAAGAAAACATGACAGAAAGGGTGATGGTAAAAAGAAAGCAGTTCCAATGGTGAAGATGGTAATTTTTATGTTGTGTGTTTTTACCACAATTTAAAAAAATAATTTGATTCAAACTCAATCTACTTCACCACTGAATTTTCCTTTTACATCACCTACATCTAAATGCTGAAGAGAGATGAAGGAGGGTGGGCTGGTACCAGTCAGCACCAAATATCCTCTTCTCTTAAATGTTGCTCCTTGTGGCA